GCCCTTGAGGCGTGCTGTGCTAAGACTGGCAGTCAGAATCCGATTCCCCTTAAAAGAGAAAATTGGCTACATCATGTTTTTTTCCCGGCAATGAATCAAATTCCTTCAATAAAGTCGAAGAACCTGTTCAGGACTCATCTGCCTTTCCCTTGTCTTCCCCCAACACACAGACACACCACACACACAGACACACAAACACAGACACACAAACACACACACACAAACACACACACACACACACACTTTGATTTCCTCTTTGCATTTGTTTGTTTTTTCTTGTTTTGTTCCATGGGCAGTTTTTACCTAATTGACTCAGTTTGACTTCTTGAGAAAATTCTTTAATTGCCTGCCCCTTCCGTAGGCTTCTTCTACTGATTCTACCAAGGAGGTTCACTCATGCTTGCATTATGCTCTAGCCTGACATTTCTCAAGTTGCTTTGAGGGCATCTGCAATCGCAGGGGCAAAGCAGCGCTACAAATAGCATCCTGAGCGAAGGAAAATGCAGAGAGGAGACGTTGAACATATTCAAGCGGTTAGCCGGGATGGAAAGAAATAAAAGTATACGGAAGCAAAAGGAATATTCGCGGAACACAAATGCTCAGCTCCAAGGGGCCACGTGGTCTTCTGTTAAATTACAAAGAGCTGCTTTTAAAAAATGCCCATGAAAATAGGCCACGTTGCAACAGAGCTTTTTACTGTACTTTTCAACGATATATATTGTTTATGTGCAATTAACCTCAGATGAGCCATTTTTAAAGGTGAAGCCTCTTTATAATGTCCTTTTCAAGGCAACATTATATAATGGCTTTTATAATAATAGCCAAGGACTGGTGTACTTTTTTAACACAATTTTAACTTTTTTAAAAGGATGGATGAATGAATATGTGTTATTGCTGTAATTATATTAAGACATGGACTTATAAACACAATAACATAATACAAACATTTAACATTATTTCTAAGAATGGGTAAAATTACAAGTAACCAGTTAAGGAGTTTTTAGGAAAACTTCCTCCTAATAAACCAGCTGGTAGGAACATTTTTAATGTCGGAACATTGACATTGGATTTCTATATATCATTTGAGCATGCAGTGGCTCAGTGGCTAAGATGCTGAGCTTGTCAATCAGAAAGGTTGACAGTTTGGCAGTTCGAATCCCTAGCACAACATAACGAAGTGAGTTCCCATTACTTGTCCAAACTTCTGCCAACCTAGCAGTTTGAAAGCATGTAAAAATGCAAGTAGAAAAATAGGGACCACCTTTAGTGGAAGCGCTCCATGCACCTTCGGCATTTAGTCATAACAGTCACATAACGGTCACATGGATAGCACTGGCTCTTCAGCTTTGAAACGAAGATGAGCACCACCCTCTAGAGTCAGGAACAACTAGCACATATGTGCGAGGGGAACTTTTACCTTTACCTATATCATTTGGATCAGTCCATCTTCAAAAAGATAAATCTGATCTGTGAAAGGCGCAGAGAAAAATACCAGAGGACTGCAGTGCACAAGGAAAAATTGCAGAATTTTTCACNCTCTCCCTCTCTTTCTCTCTCATTTCCCCTCCCTCCCTCTCTCTCATTCTCTCTCCCTCCTGCCCCCTTTCTCTTTCTCTCTCATTCTCTCTCCCTCTCTCATTCTCTCTCTCTTTCTCTCTCATTCTCTCCCTCTCCCTCTCTTTCTCTCTCATTTCCCCTCCCTCCCTCTCTCTCATTCTCTCTCCCTCCTGCCCCCTCTCTCTTTCTCTCTCATTCTCTCTCCCTCTCTCATTCTCTCTCTCTTTCTCTCTCATTCTCTCTCTCCCTCTCCCTCTTTCTCTCATTTTCCCTCCCTCCCTCTCTCTCATTCTCTCTCCCTCCGTCCCCCCTCTCTCTTTCTCTCTCATTCTCTCTCCCTCTCTCATTCTCTCTCTCTTTCTATCTCTTTCTCTCTCTCTCCCTCTCCCTCTTTCTCTCTCATTTTCCCTCTCTCTCTCTCTCTCTCTCATTCTCTCTTCCTCCCTCCCTTCCTCCCTCTTTTTCTCTCTCATTCTCTCTCTTTCTCTCTCCTTCCCTCTCTCTCTTTCTCTCTCATTCTCTCTCCCTCTCTCATTCTCTCTCTCTTTATGGATCTACTTATTTGGAATTGCTGGAGTGGCTGAGAGTTTCCAAATAGAAAGAAAATGACACAATTCTCTCTTGGAGCACCTGGCCACTTGTTCCCAAATGATCCATCCCCCTCTACTGCTCCTCATTAGCTTCCCCGATGGAGCCTCGTTAATTAAGGATGGGTCTATTCACTGCCTGTGGTTCGAGGGAGCCAGCTCTTTTTCAGTTCCACAAAGCAGCCTGCAAATGCCCTCTTTGAGCACTGCCAATGTTATCCCACTTGCTTGGACTATATTGCGGGCGGGATGGACGGGGGCGAGGGGGGTGAGGGCAGGCGGCTGGCTTCCAGCTCGCCTTCCGCACCAGGGGAAAAAAAGCACAAGATGGAGGAGAAGGATCAAAAGGCCCAGCCGCATTTGCATCTGGAAGAGGAATCGCATTTAAACAGACCTTCTCTGTTAGCTCTGCGGATCCCTGAGGGGTTTTTTGTGGGCTCTAAAATAAGGTTGGCAGCCCCAGAAACAGAAGGACAAAAGGGAGAAACAGGGAGGGTGGCTTTTGGGGGGAGCGCAGGGAGGGAGATCCAGAACTGTCCAAAGGGTTAATTAAAAGGGTAAATCCTAAGTTTCTTCCCCCCATGCAAGGGATAAAACATGTGGCCTGACATCATGATGAAAATCCCACCCTTTGGGTCCCTAAAGGTGCTTGCTTCCTTATTTATTTATTTATTTATTTATTTATTTATTTATTTTTATTCATTCATTCATTCATTCATTCATACATAGTGCAGAGAAGAGCAACTAGAATCTACCTACCTACCTTTCATCTATCATCTACCCATCCATCCATCCATCCATCCATCCATCCATCCATCCATCCATCCATCCATCGATCTATCATCTATCAGTTTGTGTTGTCTGTCTGTCTGTCTGTCCGTCCGTCCGTCCATCCATCCATCCATCCATCCATCCATCCATCCATCCATCCATCCATCG